GCGTACGTATCAGCTTAAAATTAAAAGGGAGCTCAAAAAATGTAAGATTTGGTAAGATTTGTCTAATATCTTGGGGGCATTTTTAATAAAACAATTATTCCACGAGCGCTTGTTGGATATGAGGTTATTATAGCCAACGAGGCGCGTAGCGCCTCGTTGGCTATCTATCATCTCATATCCAACGCGCGCTCGTGGAATAATTGTTAAATGTGAAATAAGTACGTAATACCTTACCTTTGGATCGCCTCCAGAACAGTAATAATAACGCGCATCTGCGAAAAAGTTAAAAAATAACCGTGTCAAAAAAGTTTTGCAACGTTTCCGAAAAAAAAGAAACGATCACCATTCTTTCATCAAACAATAGCCGGAAAAGTTTCAACCTTAGTCAACCAGGGGTTTACAAACACCCCCCTGTTTTCCTTTATTGTTTGCTTGTAAGATTGAAGAGGGAGGGAGTACTTGGGTCCAATTTGATGTTCCAGGAATGTCGAAGGAATTCTCCAGTGGGAGAGGGGGATGGAAAAAGTCCTATATTAGCGTTTTCTTGGAAACTTTGGGGCATTCTAAGTTACAATGTTATAAAAAACCATCTTCCTTCCATGGAAGAACTAAACCTAGGAACCCCATGTTTTCATCCGTCTGCTCATAGTAGACACAAAAAGTGACTTTCCCGGATGTCTCGTTCTCGAGAACTGTCTCAAATTCTAGGCGAGAAGATAGAGCAGCAGTTTAAAGAATACATACCACTTGGAATTTGAGTGAAAGTTCCCACTGGCCACGGAATCGAGCTTTCAGTCCCCTGCGCATTTAATAGGAATCCCTTAAATTGCTGTGATCCTGAGATGGTCACCGTCAGGGTGTCTCCACGGATGTACGAAAGCGGGGACACAGAGATGTTATACGGAGACGGTCCTTGTTGTGCCTCGGCGCCACTGTGGTGAGGGAGCTTAGACTGGCAGGTACTCAAAGGAGGACCTTTGGAAAACCCCAACACTGTTGAGACACTGAGGAGTAGCACCTGAGCTGTGACCTGAAGTAGAATAAAAGAAAAAGTTTTTGCAAACAGCGCGGTTTCTTTGCCTTTACTTCAAATGACAATTAAGATGAAAAGCAGTTGGGTTTTAAAGATTTAGACCTACTCAACGACGTGTGCTTATAATGAAATTAATTTAACGTTGGAGGAAATAGGTTTCAAAGACCTTGAAATAACTTTCATTCGTAAAATCTCTTTGCTTGGCTTTGGAACCTAAATAAAGACGAAACACTCTTTTAGCTACAAGGTTGAGCATGTGCAAATTGTGTTTTCCGATCCAATGCGTTTTTTAATGAGCGCAAAAAAAAGATACAAAATTATTGGCTTGCCTGTTAATATTATTAAAATTCATTCACGGTAATTTAATCGATAATTTTACTTCAGTGAAAATGCAGAATAATCGAGTTTGGCACGCAATCTATGTACGTAAATGCAACGAATATAGTTTAAGCTGACGGTTTGCAAAGCGCTAATAAAGGAGATTGCAAACTGGAATTCGTCGATTTTAACAGTCTTAATATTGAATATTTAAATTTAAAACTTGTTTCTTTCAAATATGTCCCACTCTCCATTCTAATTACAAGGTTGACAGCATTTTCCGGAAAGAGCCGCTTTTTCAAAGCCAAGCAATAAAAGTTAAATCCAGAACCATAAAGTGGATGAGTCCAGAAACTGGGATGTTCATGTTAAGGTGGCTGAACACACTTTCTGATACCTGGGTTTCTTTCACTATTTTCTCTAACACCCTTGATCTCTCAGTCGCCAAAACTGTCCGCAAGCAAGTTAACAACACAAACTTTTTTCTTTTTGATAGTTGAGCGGACGTATGTGCCGTTGCCATGGCGACATGAATAAATATAAATAGGCCCTTAAAATCGGTTTTGTTTATTTGTAGAAAATCTAGTCGTTAGATTTTCTTTATAATTTGCATGCAACGAACTTGTAACGATACTCACAAGTTAACATCATTTTGCTAATAATTTAACGGAGAGATCTTTAATTATCCCTAGTTGAAGGTTCACTTAGTCTCCCTCGCAGCCGTTTTTAGTCTCGTCACGCAACGCTCCCCTCCACAAGACGAGACTAAAAACGGCAGCGAGGAAGACTTGGTTCTTTGAACCGTTAACTTTTCTTACATGTCTTTGTACTAAAAGATTAAAGCCCTCAATACACTGCGCCAACTATAGAGAAAAATACCACAGATAGTGCGGATACATGTTGAATAAATAAAATGACCGCTCTGTTGACGGCATGTTTGTTTTTTGCAATCCTTGTGTGCGCGCTGAATTGCATCAGGAAAAGCCTTCCATTTCTAGAATTGACTAATGAGTAATTTCTTCTCTAAATATGTAATATATTATTGAGTATGATATAAATATATAATTGAGAAGAAAGAAAGATATCATATAGGAGATCTAGTTTGATTAACATTAGTTTTTTTACGTTATAATTTTAGGAAACGTATTGCAAAAGATAACGAGAAATGATATTGAGATCTGAAGGTTGAAAGGATAAAAATATACGATACGATTATTGTCAAATGACGAGGAAACGAAATTAGAATCAACCCTGCATGTTATTTTAACACTGAAGAAATTCAAATTAGTTTTCACAGCTCTAGAGGAGCGAAATACATGCCACCACAGTAAAAATTCGAATCAGGTTTTCAGCGAACGAAGAAAGTTGAAAATCAATATGCGACATTAGTGCCGTTTTTTTTGTTTTGTATTAACTGCCAAAAAAAAAAGGGGGGGAAACAAAAAGAACTTTTGATTTCATTCTCTAGCGCCTATGAAAATCGTTTGGTTAAGTTGACAGAAACCTTTGGGCCATCGATATAACGAATTGCAAATATGTTGGCCGAGGGGGTCGCCTTTGTTCTTTGTTACACTGACCTTGACAATATCATTGGTTCTTAATGTAAACATTCGAAACGTATTATTGATAGCCTGCACTAAGAAAACATAATTAAAATATGTTTCCCACAATAATTTAATTTTTCAATTTCTCAGAAGGTGAAATTTTGGGGAATCAATCTTGAAATACTGAAATACCTGATCTTTCAAACTGAAAATGCTTTCGTTTTGACGTAAAACTAAACCTGTCTTATATTGCAAAAACTTCTGATTCGGGTTGTTGCCTAGTTAGATGTTTTTTGACTCGATGTTCCATCACCGATAAAACTGTTTTGAAAAAACAGTAATGTAGCTTTCAAAAGATTTAAAGATTCTGAGAAATATTTTAAAAGTAGAGACAGGACATATCACTAGACTGAAGATCTACCCTGTAGAAAATTTTGAGTCCTGCCTGCGCTCAGGGAAATTGGTATTTGAAAGGACGATGGCTCAAGGATTTCTGTCTTTCTGGCTTCGGCTTATCGACAGTTGCTGGGCACATTAAAAGCAATCTTTGTCCCAGAATACGTTAAACTGGTTAAGCTTAGAGTTCAGTCGAGTTACGTAACTGATTGGAACACAACAAAGTCAGCGACGCCGAACGTACAATGTTTAGTTTTGTTGCCATCGATCCATTAACGAGATTATTTTTTTTCACTCGTCTGGGTATAATTATAAAGACATCATGGTAAAATGCAACAGAAATATGACACTAAAGCTCATAACAACGAATATAGATATTTTAAAATCTTACTATTGCAGCTTAGACAAAAGAGACGTAAGTTAAAAATTCCAACTCATGGTAAACATGCTAGCATTTCTGCGAACATGTCGCATCAGTAAAATTCGCTTTGAAAATATGATTTTCTATCATTATCTACAATGATTAGACTTAAAATCACCTGTAGCTGAAAATGCATGGTGGTTTTCGGCCTCCGATATTTCCTTGGCCGACACCCAAGATTTTCACGAGTGATCAGTCACACAGCCAACTAGTAAACGTGACGCTTGAATATCTCAGGTCTCCCACCCCTCCCCAGTGCTTACTTACATACAGTATTTCCCAGCTTGTCACAGATTTCAAAATGGCCGCTCAGATTGTGAAAACCCGTCAGGTAAAAATAATATTTTTTATTTTTTATTTTTTTATTTATTACAATTTAATGACACATATAACCTACTTACTTACTTACTTACTTACATTAATAGATAATAATACAAAAGAGTAAAAAGAAAGGTGCCATAAGGATGGTCCGCAAAAGAGATAAATCCCCATGCACGGCAGACCACCTTTAACAAAAAAACAAATCCAAACTAAAATCAATCAAATCTTGCAGTCAAATAATCCCTTACACCCCTTTTAAAACAAGAAACACTTGGAGCCTGACGGACCGATAGTGGCAGCCCATTCCACATGTGGACAATCCTATTAAAATAGCAAAACCTAAAAGTATCAGTCCTCGCGTAGTTCTTTTTTAATTTAAGTTCGTCCTTACCCCTCAACGAGTATCTTTCCGAATGTGAATAAAATTGGATATAAGAGGATATATCTATATTAATATACCCATTAAGAACTCTATAAAAAAATAGTACGTCAAAAAAGAAGCGTCTGTCCTCTAGAGATAACAGGTTCAGTTTTTCTTTACGAGTGTTGTAATCATCATCAGTTTTTAGAATAAACTTGGTGGCTCTTCGCTGAATCCTTTCCAATTTATTAATGTTTCTAGCCGTGAAGGGTGACCAGACAATAGTACAGTATTCCAATTGGGACCTTACCAAAGCACAGTACAACCTTCTTAACATGTTAACATCTTTCAGACCCTTGCATGTCCTTTTAATAAGGCCAAGAATCTTGTTAGCCTTGCTTGATATCTTATCAACATGAGCATTCCAGGACAACTTGTTACTAGTAACTAATCCAAGATCACAGAATTCAGATGTTTCTTCCAGAGAGCTCTCATTCAGCTTAAGGTCAGAACGAAAAGGCATACTTTTTTTCGTGATACGCATCAATTTGCATTTCTTTACATTAAAATCCATTAGATTTCGCTGACTCCAGATGTGTAGATTATTCAGGTCAGATTGAAAATCATGTTGGTCTGATGTACAGTTTATCAGTCTTGATCTTTTACAATCATCTGCGTACAGTGCGATTGTGTTTCCAGGCAATTTGTGAATCACAAGTTCTACAGCATAGTTTTTGATAATTATCTTGCTTTCTAGACTGCGGCCATTATCGAGGGGATCCTCACAGAGGTGTTTTGTTCTGCTTATCAAGACAGAATCTTTGTGATCGTTTCACAGATAGAGAAAATTGGAACGTTGGTGAGTGTTGGTGCCTTTAATTTTTTGTTAGTTTTTTTCTTTGATGGCTGTTTCTTATGATTGATTGTATGATTAAGTGATGATTTACGCCAGGATTTCAGAGCGTAAAGTAAAATTGATGCAATCTTTGTATAACAATAATTTTGAACTCCATATGATCGTCAGCTGTAATGTATTGTTACATCATTCATAACCCTTTCACTCCCAAGATCACATATTAAGTAATTCTCCTTACTGTCTGCCATCAATTCTTATCATGTTAGTTTGGAGAATTTGCTTTTGGGTCAACTGACAATTCCATAATTGATATTTTCCTTTATTCTCAGCACTTGTATGCTTGATATTGTATTGATAATGTCAGGAGAAATTCTATCTTGGTCATTCATGGTTGTTAAGGGGTTAACAGGAAGCTGTACAAGCACATTTGCTGGTGTTCTTCATTCTTTTCAAATATACCTGCCAACTCTCACGCCTTAGGCATGAGTCTCACACCTGCCGGTTGAAAACTTCGATCTCACGCCTACTCACGCCTGCAGGCCAATTTCTCACGCCTGATTGAAAAATGTGAGTTGTTGCCGTCTTGCTTGACACAGTTTCCAAAAATATGTTAACTCAGACCCATGCAAGAAACAAAAACCATGAGTCATTTCCTTTATACAATTGTACTACTACATTACAAAGAATGTATTTCATGAGCAGCTAGAATAAAGCTTTATGGCCTTTTCTGGAAACACCAACATCACAACTACCTTAAAAAATTGATCATGTCAGTCCAAAACTTTCTGATTTTAGAACTATAGCACTGATGTTATCAACTAACGTCGGTCCTTGTGGATAAGCGTTTTCTCGATAAATTCGCCTTCGGCAGACTTCGGATATCTTCGGAAGACTTCAGACTTCTTTGGGAATCTTTGGAAATGATCGTGTCATCTTCAGAAATCCCAGCACTCCTAAGATAAAAATCTCACACCTACATCTCAGAAAAAGTTGGCAGGTATACTCAAATGGTGTGGTGGGCTTCTTTGGATGTGAAGTTGCAGCAGGTCTCCTATAGGCTTCTCATAATCCGTTGTCACTGAGACCTTAAGACTTTGAGTCTGCTAATTTGCATAACCTAAATTTCTTTCCAAAGTCATCTGTGCATTGAATACCTTTGCAGGTTAGTGTAAATAAGATGTCTCCAACAGAAAGTTCACTCAAAAGAGAGGCACAGACATTCAACACTAGAATACTCATGGGCAGTGACGAGGTTTGTTCAAATTCTATGCTGTTGTCTAGTTCTGCATGAACCCTATCAATCTCAGAGGTGATCAAATTGGAACTTCTCCTTGGGATAGGAAATCATTGCCAAGTAAATAGATAATAAAAATTAAGGAAATCCTCAACCACAGGACACAGTGAATTTACTGGTAACCAATACCGAATTTTTCTGAGCTATCATAATTTTAAGGAAATGTTAAGACTTCATAATCTTAGCAGGTTGTCTTTGTAAGTTTGTCTATTTTCTAGACCAGACATTATAAATTGTTGATCCTGAAGGGAGAAAAAAGGGAACCGAAGACAATATTATGCTGAAGTCAACATTTTCATGTCCATTAAACTAAAAGGCTAATAAATGCAATGGTCTAACAGGTGGAGTCTTTTGAGGCATAAGATTCACTCTAAATGCTATCAGAGTGGAAATTTTACATAATTACAACAGGTTTTTTGAGAGGATGGACTGTAGCTGACAGAAGTTTAATATTACTTCATTCATTTATTTAAGTTTGTTTTTATACATGAACATGTTATTACATTGCAGGAAATCTGGCATGTCTATGCAAAACAGATCGGAGCCCTTATCACTGAGCATGCCAGCAAGCCAGTTCTTTTGGGTATTGCCCTCAAGAAACATTCACCACAGATACTACAGCAGATTTTAAAACTGCTTGAAACAAATAGAGTCTGGTGATGAATTATGCCTGTCTTAGACAGAAAATGTACCTCAGATTCTCACACAACAATAGCAATAGTTTACAAATGAGTCAGATGAGTCTCTACTGAGACAGTGAAAAGTTAATCTCAAGCTTGTTGTTCCATGACATAGCTGTGAGTATTAAAACAAGAACATACAATGCAGAGTAGCTCAAAATCATCGATTTTGGAGCCTTTGAATATTTTTTACAAGTTTCATCTTATGTACAACACTTTTTCTTTGTGTAAATACATAATACAACTTATTACAAAAAGGAAGTTATTTTGTTAAATTATTTAATAAATTGCTGTA